GTTGATCTTCAAAATACATTCAGTAGTGAGGACCTTCAAGACATCAGCTAAAGAACATTTTGGCAGAAGGTACCTATAGAGAGTGGTTCTTACCTGGTGATGGTAATGAAGGCTCTTCAGTGTTTTCAATATTTTTTTAAAGAAAATGATTTCTAAGAAACATTTGAACATGGTAAAAAAAAAGAAAAAAGTGGCCTAAGGTTTCTTTTCTATTTCTTTCTGCATTTATTTACTTTCAGGAGGGACAATCATAATTCTGGAAGTCTGGTAAAGTCCTATTGACTCCTTCCCAGAATACTGTTTTTAAAAACAAGTTATAAAAAATTCACAGGATTATGGAAAAATTATGAATATTGAAATAATATATTAGTCCAAGTTCATAGAACTGAAGGTTCTGCTGATCCAGTTTATGAATATAGTCATTTATAATCTCTCCATAAATGTTTTATTTAAGTGAGTTCAAAGCATCTCAATAAACACATTCACCGAGGTTAAACTTGTAAAGGGAACACTAACAAGAAGGTGGCAGTAGACAAGGGAGTGGTGGGGACTGTGGCAGAATGTACAGTGCGTGCCCTGCCTAAAGCAGGAAGTCTCTAAGGAGATCAACAGATTTCTGCCACACGGGAATGTAGGCCCTATACGGCCATGTCTTTCTCATTTTCAAGAGAAGCAAAGTATTTGGGTTTTTACATAAAATATCCTATTTGTCAATGTTGGCTGAAGAAAAAAGATTAACATTATTTGGAAAAAAAGAAGATGTACCTTTTACCAGATCTGTCTAGAGAGCTACAAGTGTATGACTTCAAGAAAGTAAGAGAAATTGGAAGAAACCAAATACTCATAATTTAATGTATATTTTTCACTATAGATATCCTTAGGACCGTTACTTTTAAAACATAAGAATTAATTTAGGGCTGGGGTCGTGGCTCAGCGGTAGAGTGTTCACCTAGCAAGAGCAAGGCCCTGGGTTCAATCCTCAGCATCACATTAAAAATAAATAAATAAAATAAAGGTATTGTGTCCAACTACAGCTAAAAAATAAATATTTTTTTAAAAAAGAATTCATTTAAATTCACCTTCCTTCCTATGGCAGCACCCTGTGCAATAGAACACTCAGTGGCTTAAGCTAAGGAAAGGCTTAGCTCTTCCAATGTTTATTGAAAACCTACTTCTTTGTGCTGGGCAATATAAGTTGGTAAGAATATAAAGGTGAAGGCATTGACTTAGTTTCCAGTGTTTGCAAACCAGTCTAGAAAGAGTTGCACCAAAAATCTATAATACAACGTGTTAAATAAAGACTATGATAGAGATATGTCAAAAGTACAAAGAGTGTGGAAGGAAAGAAAATGTGAGTCTTCCCAGGAGCTGGAGAGGGGTTTTCAGAGGAGAGATCCCTTTGAGCAGAGCTTTATATAAAGAGGCCTAGATTGTTCAGCATCTGAGAGGATATGCTGAAGAACTGGGCTTTTATCTGAGAGGAAATAGAGGGCTATTTAAGAATTCTGAACAGGGAAGCAGTATGTTCAAATCTTAAAGAATTCTGGCTGCAGTATGGAATGCTGTCTTCAGGTGGAGACAGAACAGAGAATGAAGACTCAGGCTGGTGGTTTCAAGGGTTCAAAGGATGTATCAGGGCAGCAGCAGAGGCATGAACCAAGGCGAACTGGTGGGAAAGATACTTAAAGGATAGAAATGAAAGAACTTTGTGTCTGCTGGTATGCTAGTGGCCAGGGTAGCAAAAAAGGAGGGAGGAATTGAGAATGACTCACAGGACTTTCTACAAGAGAAAGTCTAGCAAAAACTATGAGCATAATGCTGAAGACAGATGACCTGAGTCCAAATGTGACTTCTTTCCATTTGCTGTGTGACTTTAGGCAAGTTATTTATCTTCTATAGATATATATTTTTTACACACACACACACACACACACACACACATATGTATATATTTCAAGTGCTTTTAAAACAGTACTTCCACTTATCCTTTTTAATTTCATTATTAACTATTATAAATTTGGTTAGGACAGCAGTGTCACTCCATTTGTTTTAGAATACTAAATGATGCAGCTGATGTGCTTTTAGAACACTCTAGGTTTGCATAGTAGATGTGGATCTCAGGTTGAGGTCCTAGTATGGTAATAACAGTGAGAGCCTTTTATGCAGATCATCTGAGATGGTTTTTGAGAAGAAGGTCAGGGTTTGAGTCTCTAAGACACTGGTATTGAATTGAAAGAGTAAAATGCAAAGAGCAAAATTTGTAGAGGCACTTTAGAAGAGAAGTCCAGACAAGTAGTGGGGAAAAATGAAAGATTAGTTTCTTGAAACCAAGAGAATAAAGGAGTCTAGAAAGAGTACAGCATATACAGAAAATATTATAAAGGAGTCGGGTATACTGATAACTGAAAAGCACCTATATTCCACAATTAGGAAATCTTTAATAAAGTAATTTAAAAATGACTTCTTGTCATTGACATATAGAAAACAGTCAAATGCTAGTTTCCATTATACTTCTTAACTTTAAATTCATTTCTAGAGATAGTAAAATGAAAAACGATAATTAGATGGAATCATAAACTTTCCATTTTTATAATGAAAAACTGAATTCAAAAATTTCATATAATTCTACTATGCTGAGTCAATAAAAATCTGCTTTGAAATTGTGTAAAAGAATATTTGGTTTTTGTTTCCATTATGATGCAGGGACTAAAACTACCTCTTCTGATTTTCCTAAAGAAATGAAGCTGATAATAATTGCCAGTATCATATTAACACAAATAGGAGATGCTGATATCTAAATGCCTTCCTTTCTCTGTATCCTACTGTAGTTATTTTTCTTGTCATTTTGCCTTTGGGGTCTAAAAACTACAGGAATGAAAACTGAATGTAACAGTAATTTGAAGGGAAGGATATTCATATCTTTCCAAAAGAATGTCTCCTGTTACTAATAACATTGATATTATAAAAAGTCTGGTTGTTTTGGCAGTGTAGAATAAAAAGTGAAAATGTTAAGAGTGTTAGCTTTGGAATCATATCCTGACTCTACCACTTATCAGGTATGAAGTCCAAGGAAAATTCCTTACTCTTCTAAACCTGCATTCCCTCATATGTAAAATGGAGAGAAGACTGTTGTCACTGAGAATGAGGGTGGTGATGTACATGAGGGGTTAGCACAGTGCCGCTTAAAACAAATGATAGCTTTATGATATTTTGGTTTTTTATCTGTCCATTGTAGATGACCATGAAAAAATTCAAGAGAGAATTGTATTTAAAAGAATAGGTACATTTAGAAGGATTAATCTTTTCATATGCCAGCAAAAACCTTTAAATTCTGCAGTGTGACTTGTCCCTTCACTGGTAGACTTCCAAGAGAACCAACAGCCAGATCTGTACTTTCCCATGGCACAAGAGCAGAGTAAGCTTTGTGCTATTCATCTGTTGAGGACTAACCAACGTGTTTCTTCATAGTCAATGAAATATATGACTCGTAAAATAAAATCCCTCAAAATCTATACCCAAATAAAAGCCATACAATTGACTACTAAAGACTTACAAACAAACCTCAGCATTTAGGATTTGCATCAGGCAACTTAATCATATCTCAAAATGCTCTAATTAATCTGATATTTCCCAAACATGAAAGACAAATTATTAGTAAAAACATAATTCTCTTTCATTTTGCATTAAATTAAAGCAAGATAAGTTTAAAACATATACTGAAACTATCTGATGAAAAAGCCCTTTTTTAGTTCATCACCTAAGTTTTCAAAGTCCATGGTGGTAGTGTTTCATTTTGAATTTTAAATTGAATAAAAGCAAGGCTGAAAATACCCTATCCTGTTGTTTGCCTTTGCATTTTTCTGAAAGATTACTATGCTTTGCTATTGGCAAAATGGTTATTAAAAATGTAACACAACCCTATGTAATGAAATGGAATCCCATAAAGTATGATAGTGTTATGGATCTTAAAGTAAAGCCACCAGTGCAGATGTTCCTAATCATACTAAAAACACAAATACACAAACCAGTTTGTTCCAGCTACAGAATAATTTAATTAAAAGAGTGCTTATAATTTAACAATATAAATAACAGTTAGAGCCAGGGAGGTAGTGAAATAGCAAGGAAATATAAACCTACAGAGTCTATGCCAAGAAAACTGTTCCAAATTCTCAAGGCTGAGAAAGCCATTTCTTTCCTTGTTACAGGTAGAAAATTACTACCTAAATTAGCCAAAAACTGTGATTAATGTACCTTTAGGGAAAACACACACACACACACACACACACACACACACACACACACACTAGTTAACTAGCTTTCATGAATACAAACACCTATCTAAATCCAGAATATCATTTAGAATCTGCTTTGGGGCAGTTAAAATCATACTTCTCACCAGTTCAAATTTCTTATTGAGATATAGATGCAGTAGGTAATGGGATACAAAAATAAATCAGAATAAGACATAAGCTCTAAGGACATACAGTATTCTCTTTGCAAATAATGATCTTGGCAAAGAGCCTCCTTTTGTGCAGACAGCTCTGTTCCTTGCTTATAACAGCTCTCAAGTCAACAACAGGTAATTGTGTACTACTAATTAGGTTGAAAGACAATTGTATTCCAATCAGGAGATATTTTATAGCTTGTTTCAGTGAAGGCAAGAAATTACATCTGCAAAATCAAGTTTTAAAAGTGCACTTTCCCATAATAACTGATCTTTTACTCAAACATTGTGTGAAATTTAACATCACAACTGTGTAATGCCATTCAAAAATTGGGTCAGTGCGTAATTGTTAGCAAAAGATAGCACAGAAATTAAAGAACAATTAGGAAAACTCTTACACAAAGATATCCACACTGCTTCCCAAAGTTAATAACAGTTTCATTAAATATTCATTTTGTTATCTAAATTGTCCAGCCCAGTTCATTCATAATACCTTCCAAGAAGCAAAGCGACATCCACTCTGCAGAAAACGGAAAAACCAAATGCAGTACATTACCTTGTGTCACCTGTTGAACTGCCAACATTATCCCAGACACAGTGTCTGGAAGCAGGTTTTCTTTCAGATTGTAATGAGGTGCCCATTCCAAAATAGGTAGCCGCCTTCTGCACCACTGTTTAATGTCCTCATAATGGGGGGGATGCATCTTGCTCCAGAACATGCTTTTCTTTTTCCTCTTCGCCCCTGTCATTTTTCAGATTCCCTGTTGTAGAAGTCAACTTCTTTAGACAAGGGGGAAAAAAAAAGTTGCAGAACACCTCTTTTCAATGCCAGGCTCCAATTCGTCTGTGGTTTACAATGTCAAAGCTACCCAGAAAATAAATAAGTAAGAGAGAGGGAGGGAGAAGGAAAGGGAGAGAGAGGGGGAGAGAAAGGGAGAGAGGGAGGGGAGAGGAAGATTAAAAGCACTTAAATAGATGCAGCTGAGCTATCTGTCTTATTATGATGCAGCTAATTACTGTAGATAAAAACTGTAGATGAAAACCTTGAATTCTTATCTGAATGAGGAGTGGTTCCTGTTAGTGTAATATATTTCTGATCTTGGAAAAGTAATGGGTTCGGTGGTAAGTTAGTCTACAGCTCTCTTGCCAGTAATTCCCTTTATATTCACTGTAGTCTTATGTGTTTGGCTGCAATCCCAATGGTTAATGAGGTAGTTCTGGGCGTGTGTTGGAAGTAGGCTGGGCTATGCTAATGAAACCAGAAAACATCCTGCTCTTCCAGTTTCTCCCTTTAAGCTATGCAAAGTCATAAATCTGCCAGATTTACAGAAGGGTGTTGTGCAAGTTACATTCAGAGAATCCCCCATACTTTGGTGGGAGGTACATATTTTCAACATATCCTATGATTGCCAGTTCTACAAGATTCAGAAATGTGACAGGGCCCTCTAAAGGTCCTTAGCATGTTTGATTCCCTGGTAGGTGAGGTTTTCATTCATACAGATACATTTAGTCACTGCACAGCCTGGGAAAAGACTGGCTAGTTCTCATGAGCAACTGAAATTTCATCTCATGGGCTTAGAAAATAAGTAACGGTGAACAAATAATCGTGGCTTGAGTTCTTCCCTGTCCCTGAAGCTGTTCCTTCAGTTTCCTCTGACAGTTTCTCTAAGTCCTATAATTCACACACTTATGCATTGTAAGTGAAATTTATTGAGGAATAACATGGTGTTTATACTGTTGTTTGAAGTGTCCCTAACTTTTTTTGTGTGCAGTATTTCCCTGTGTTCACGTAACTTTGGGTGTGGGGGTCGTTACACTTCATAATACAACAGACAGACAGACAAAGCTTTTTATTTTATGATGGTTTCCCTCAGCCCCCAGGGGAGAAAAAAAAAAAGCCTGCATTTATGAGTTGTGTCATTGGAATTAAACTGAAAAGCCAATACACTAGCTAAAATTGTGAAGCCAAGATAAAGAATGCCATGTATATAGTTTGCTGCAGTGCCTTTTAATGCCCATTTGTCCAGAGAATACAAATCTGATTTCTGGAAGCTTTTAGAATAACAAAGTACTTGGATTTGTTGGCTACTTCTAAGGATCCCTGCAGAACCTCTCCCCATTGTTTCTAAAATGAAAATGAAGAGCTACTTTCTCAGCCTTCTAAAAGATGACACCTCTTGCTTTGTATCATGCGCAATAATCCTTTTTTCCCAATTCAATTGAATTCTAAATGTATAGAGAGAGAGAGGGAAGGAGGAGGTGGGGGAGAGAGATTTTACTTCCATCTGCAGAAGAATTTGATTTGTATTTTTCTAATTATTTATATTACATTAGATTTTCAGATTATTCCATAGTTTGGGTTTGAGGCCTATAGTGAGCCTCATTTAGTGACTAAGTTGTAGCATTCTAACCCCTATTCTCTTGGCATAAAGAGTGGATTCACCAGATAAATGTAAATCTACTTTTAATAGAGAGGCAATATTGCTTTTCCTTTACAAATGCTATCTTTAACTTTATATTCATTCAGTATATACAAAAAGAGGTTTAGGAGCTATATATGTACTAATTATAAGATTTTCATAACCAAAATGAACACTGAAGATTTTTTTTCCAAAAAATACCTGGGTCATAAATTCAAATCTTTGCTATGAAATGAGAAAAATAATTGGAAGCTTGACTGAAATGACCAGTGGACAGTTCTTATTTTCACTATTTATAGAATTTCAATCACTTTAACATTTGAGTTAAGTCTTTATAACAAAGAGTTCACATGAAGCTGGGCATGATGGCGCACGCCTGTAATCCCAGCAGCTCAGGAGGCTGAGGCAGGAGGATCACAAGTTCAAAGCCAGCCTCAGCAAAATCAAGGTGCTAAGCAACTCAGGGAGACCGTGTCTCTAAATAAAATACAAAATAGGGCTGGAGATGTGGCTCAGTTGAATGCCCCTGAGTTCAATCCCCGATACCAAAAAGAGAAAAAAAGAGTACACCTGAAAAGTATTTCCAGAATTGAAGGTGAATCTGTGCAGATGTACTCTAGATCACATCAGGGCTAGTGATTGTTCTAAAACATTTCAAGACTGGGAGAAAGGAGAAATTAGTATAATAAAATAGTTCTGAAGTCTCTCAATCAAAAATTTCCTAAAAAAAATAGAATAAATCATTCCTAAAAATCTTTTTCTGAAGTTTAAATCTAGAATTCCAGCTCCAGATCTTTTTCAATTCCATATGCAGATACTTATTTAAAACATGCCCAAATCTCACTCCAGAATATGATATCATTTCTACTTAGAATCAGCAATACCAAGTAAAGAAAATCTTCTGAAGGAATTTCTTCATGCACATGAAATAAATGATTTGTCTGACCTATACAATTCAAAAAGGCTAAATATCTGTATTAAGAAGTTTTTGTGACTTGAGGCAGTTAAATTTCAACATTATGTACCATTTGTAGGGGGCACACCTCTCTAAATGTCCAGGATAACACCTATACAAAAGACGGACTTACTGTCTTTCAATTCACCCATGGACCAATGGAAAAGTTCTGAAAACATCATTTTAATTTCTGTTATCTTCAAAATCAAACCCATTAGCAAAAGTCAAGTGACCCTTCTCTGTTCCCTTACCCACTGGCAAATTTCTGATCAATCCTACTCAACATGGCATGTTTTGGAGTTTTTTTGTTTTGGTTTGGTTTTTAGTTTTTGGTTTTGGGAACCAATCATGATTTGCTAGCCTCTGTGTGAAGAGCTATAGAAGGGGACAGGGAGGAGCTATTGTTTCTGTATTTGATGAGCTCTCATTTAATAAAGAAAACAGGAAAATGAATGACTAACTCGAGGCAGAATGGGATAAAGTGATAATTAAGTCACATAATGAATGGTAGGGAAACTCAGAAGAGAAAGACTAGCATTCCCCATGAGAAAAAAAAAGGCAGGGGGCTTTTTCATTCTGCCTTGACCCTTCATTTCAACAGGTAAATAGAGTCACTCTGCAGAACATTACCTTAACTCTTCAGTCTATCTCTAAACTAATTTCCCTAGTTACATGGTCTTTTACATTTTCTAAATGCTTATTCAATATTTACCTCTTCCATGAAACTTTCCCAGGTTCCCCAGAGTTCTACCCATGCTGTATAATCAACATTCAGGTTGATTATAAAATCTCAGGCTATTTAGAGTGTAGTGCTGTAGACATTTTCACAATTCATTGGTTTTCTTCCTTTAAATCTATTTCACGTGATTTTATTCAGTCTGGCTCATAAGATTGTGAGTTCTTATGAGTAGGGATTAGTCACATACTTTGCTTTGTCTCTTTCCTTAGGATCTACTAGAAGGAGCTGCAACCTAGGATCTACTCAGTAAGTATGAATATTCAACGTTCCTACTGCTCAAATACCCGAGAATCAATCTGTCTCAGTCTGATTTCCAGGCTGTGCTGTTAAGATATCAGGAAAATAGGTGGAGAAAGAACAAGAATTAGACACAGTAGCAGGGGAAGTAAGGAGAGACTTTATCTTTGGTGGCTCAATTTCTCCCTGTTCTTTCCCAATCTGAAGAAAGTTCTTTCAACTCGGGTCTGTCTCCTTATATTATAGAATCTGCAGAGAGGAAAAAGTAAATGGGAAGAGCAGGAAAGAGGGAAGAAGCACGAGAGAGGCGGAAAATCTCCTGAATTGGAGCTACAAAGTTTTGGGGAATTGGCCCGTGAGAGCTCCTGGAGCAATTGTGAAGTGAAAGGGATCAGGCCAGGCCTGAGTGACTTAAGAGACTTTAGAGAAAATTTGTGCAAATTATAAACTGGATGACATTTAATGGTTTTGAGAGCCACAGATAAAGATTAACATTCTTGCCTGGCACAGTGGTACATGATTATAATTCCAGTGGCTCAGAAGGCTGAGTCAGGAGGATAGCAAGTTCAAAGCCAGCCTCAGCAAAAGTGAGGCACTAAGCAACTCAGTGAGGCCCAGTATGTAATTAAAATACAAAATAGGACTGGGGATGTGGCTCAGTGGTCAAGTGCCCCTGAGTTCAATTCCTGGTACCCCCCACCAAAAAAACAGATTGACATTCTTCTGATTTTAGCACAATGCTTTACCTGTACAGAGACTGGAACATTTAGAGCATTGATTTATATCCAAGTTACTTGGAAATAAAAGTTAATAAACCTTGGATGGCATCAATTTTTAATTCATATCTATTACTTCAGCACCTTGACCTGTGGCACATCTAATAAGAGGACAGTACAAAATGCTCTCATCTAGCAGAGGAGGTGGAAACTGAAAGCCACTCTATTCACTAAGCCAGGGTGGACCCATACAGAGAGACCAGCTTCTTTATCATTAAATCTGCCAGACAGGTTACCTTCTCCTAATTTACCCAAAGTTTCCTATAGGTTAGCAAAACCCTGAATCCAACCTCTGTTTTAATTTTCCAATGACTGAAATTAACAGGCTTAGAAAAACAGTCCCTTCCAATTTTCAGAAATTCTGATTTTTAGAACATTTTTTTCCTAATGATTGAACCAAGATCTGCTATTCAGATGTCTACTCTTCAGTCTTTATCCTAATTTCTATGTTTTATTACAAACTCTTCAGCTTCAGGCCTGATTAGTTCAGGGCTACCAAAAATCCAAAATGATTAACTTTATGCTAGTATTGTTCACTTCACAAACACTATCAGATTTAAGTAAGGATGCACACTTATAAATCAATTTCAGTCCAGAATGGTACAGTTAATATTTTTCTTATGATAGGCCAGTCAGTACTATACATTGAGAAAAAATTCTATGCTCTCAGAACTAATTATTAATGAAGTTTATTTTGTTTTTCTTTGGACTGTTTCTCTACCATGTTTTTTTTAAGAGAGAAAGAGAGAGAAGAGAGAGAATTTTTAATATTTATTTTTCAGTTTTAGGTGGACACAACATCTTTATTTTATTTTTATGTGGTTCTGAGGATTGAACCCAGTACCTCGTGCATGCCAGGCGAGCATGTTACCACTTGAGTCACATCCCCAGCCCTACCATGTTTTTTTTAATCTTTCTTCCATTGTTTTATATTCTGTGCTTTTTGACTCATAATAGGAACCAAAGGGAAATACCACTATTAAAGTAATAAAAAAAGCCTAGCAAAAGAATTACTCATACA